CTGTGTGTGTGTTTTTGTTTGTTGTTTGTTTGTTTTTTAAAGAAAGACTCGGGAAGACCTTTGACCGTCCACGTAGCTGCCTAAAAGGAATTTAGATAGAGGGCCTGCTCCCGGAAGAGAGCTCTCATCATAGACAACTTTATGTAATATGAAGTAGTGTATATTAGGCAGGGAGGAACCAGGGAGGAACAAGGCAAGGCCCATTTGCTCCAAGTTCTCTGTGTCCCATTGTTAAAGATGGCCCCGCAAACATTAACTTACCGAAAACGTGCTCTTCTCTCTCCATGGGACTTGCCTTCCTGCCTTTGAAATTGCAAACCACCACCATCCCTCAGCTCAAGGAGGCATATAAGCCTGAACTGCCCAATTTGTCATCAGGTCTCATGTTCTAATGGGACTCCTGCATGTATAAATGTAACACATTTTAGCCATTTTCTTCTGCTAATCCATCTCAGATCCACTTGATTTTTAGTCCAGCCAGAAAAACTTATAGAAAGGTGGAAGGAAATTTTATTTTTCCACTGCCACATGGACTCGAGGAAAACTTTCAGACTGATACTCTGAATTGTGAAACATTACATGGAACTAAATGCTGGCTTTTGGGACAAACAGGGAAAGCAGCTCTCAATCAAGCACCTCCTTCAAAAAGTTTGTTTAAAAACAAAAGAAATAGAAACACTGACAAGACAGATAAGCTTTTTAAGACCTACAGGGTTTTTCTTTACCCACCCACCCCCTCCAAAAAACAACAACAACAAAACAAAAAACACTTTTCATGCAGATCTCAAACATCATTACAGCTCAGAGAATGGAGACATAGCACCTGGCATCCAGTACAAAACCATTAGACTTGTTATGGAATCCTAACATTTTAGTGGGCGTGCTTAACAGCAACGGCTACTCTGCCAAACCAGGTTTATTCTTTGTCAAGTGTAGAAGAGAACATGAAGTGACTCAGATGACCAAGCCATAGACGCCAATATCCTCAAAAAGCAAGCTCCCTCTCCTGCCATACGCGAAGTGGGCTTTCAGAGCATGGGTATCATCTATGGATGGCTATCCTAAGGGAATGGTCCATGAATTTCACTCTCTCCGCTCTGCGTTTAGGTGCCTCTCCCCTTTGTTAATCCCTTTTCCATTTATTCAGTCTTTCATTGAGTATTAATTGCTAGAAGCTGTGCTTACAAAGATAAAGACATGGCACTTCTCTTAAGAAGCTCCTAGTCTACTGTGATGATTTCCAAGTGTAGTGAGCACGAAAGTCAGCTGAGGAAGAGTTCCCAGCTTCTCCCTGAAAGATCCTAATTTGGGTCTCTGAGGCAAACGCCCAATAGTCTTCACTTTCTGAAGACACCCATGGGTGATTCTGACATAAACGGCCCCCAGACTCTGCTGTTCAACCCACTGGTCCGGAGGGACAGCGAGCATTTCCCCTGTTCATTGGGATCTAACCAGCCTTCAGGGACAAGTCTAAACGGAGCTTTCCCAGCTGCCTTCGTTAGGAGTTATTGCCTTCTTTCCTTCCCTAGCACTTTCAATGTATCTCGCTCATGCCATCTTTATTGTGCATCCTCTCTGAAATGCCTTGTCTTACCTCCCAGACTCTTGGATGGAGAACCATCTGACTCATTGTGTGGGCTGCATTTCCACTCTGTTAGATAGCAATGGTTCATGCACAAAAGTTTTAAATTTTTGTGAAATCCAGTGTCTCTATTTTTTCTCCTGTTGACTGTGTTTTTGGTGTCATATTTAAATAAATAAATAAATAAATAAATTAAATATATATATATATATATATAAAATTGAGCCGGGACCGGTTTGGCTCAGTGGATAGAGCGTCGGCCTGGGAACTGAAAGGTCCCGGGTTCGATTCCGGTCAAGGGCATGTACCTTGGTTGCAGGTGCATCCCCAGTAGGGGGTGTGCAAGAGGCAGCTGATCGATGATTCTCTCTCATCGATGTTTCTAACTCTCTATCCCTCTCTCTTCCTCTCTGTGAAAAATCAATAAAATATATTAAAAATAAATTTTAAAAAATTGAGTTTTTACAGAAAGGAAGAGAGAGGGATAGAGAGTTAGAAACATGGTTCAGCTTTCTCTTACACACCCCCTACTGGGGATGTATGTGCCCGCAACCAAGGTACATGCCCTTGACCGGAATCGAACCCAGGACCTTTCAGTCCGCAGGCCGACGCTCTATCCATTGAGCCAAACCAGTTTTGGCTTGCTGCCATATTTTTGGGTGGAAAACACGGCTCCTCTTTAGGATTAGGATTGAGGAAAAGGGAGGAGGGGAGGTCAATTGGGCTTTTCCACCAGTAAAAAGGTAGTCCTTAGCACAAGGTTGGGGTGAGTATTAAATGAGACGATATTACCCCAGGTTTAAAAAAGTAGTGCGAATGCAGAGCATGGTTCTGCTGCGGGAGGTAGGGAGGCTTGAGTATGACCTGGAGGCCCTGTAGCCCATCTCCACTGACGAATTCAAGGCATCTTCATAGATTGGACCATGCAATTGTCTTCTTTGCCTTTCCCTTGTCTCCCGAAGCCCCAGCTCAGTCCTCAACTCCTCCCAGAGCTCTTGACTAGAGATATCTTCGTTAGTTGATGGGCTGCATGTAACCACAACCTTCAGCCCTGTCTACTCCACAGAGGGCTCAGAAGAGGTGCCAGGTTGTTACCTTTGGGACTCAGTGGCATTAAGTACCTTCACATGATTGCACAACCATCACCACTATCCTGCACTCTCTTCATCTTGAAGATTTGAACATCTGTACCTATTTTGTCTATCCAATTATCCAGCAGTATTGCTGGATGATACAGTAATCCTATGTTTAATTTTTTTCTTGAGAAACCACCATACTGTTTTCCACAGTGGTTGTATCATTTTACACTTCTACCCGCAATGCTCATTTCTTCATATCTTCGCCAGCACTTATTTTCTGTGGTTTTTAATTTTTACTAATAGTCATTCTAGTAGGTGTAAAGTGGTATTTCATTATAGTTTTTTTAAAAGCATAACCTTCGTTATTATTGATTAAGAAATCAGTTTTATTCCCCTTGATTTTCAGAGAGAGTGAGTGGAAGGAAAGGGGACAGACAGAGAAGCATTGATGTGAGAAAGACATTGATTGGTTGCCTCCCACACAGCCCTGACCAAGGTTGGGGATCCAGCCTGCAAGCAAGGTATGTGTCCTTGACTGGATTCAAACTCAGAACTCCTCAGTCCTCTGGCCAACGCTCTATCCACTGAGCCAAACTGGCTAGGGCTCATTATAGTTTTGATTTGCATTTCTCGAATGACTAGTGATGTTGAGCATTTTTTTATACTTATTGCCCATTTGTGTATCTTCTTTGGAGAAATGTCTATTTGAGTCTCTGCCCATGTTTAAATTGAGCTGTTTATTTCGTTGTTGAGTTATAGGAGTTCTTTATATAGTCTACATATTAACTCCTTATCAGATATATGGTTTGCAAATATCTTCTGTAGGGTTCTGAGAATATTTGCAAGCCCCATTCTGTGGGTTGCCTTTTCACTCTGTTGATAGTATCCATTCATTCATTCACAAAAGTTTTTAATTTTGATGAAATCCCATTGGTATCTATTTTTTTTTCTTTTGTTGGCTATGTTTTTGTGTCATGTGTATAATTTATAATTTTTCAATTATTTTTTTTTCTATTCAAATACTGAAGCCAAAATTCTCTCCACTTTTCAAAGAAACTGATGGACTTACTCCATCCTCATATTGGTTAATAAGCTCTGGTCTGAGGATCCATATACTGGGCTCCCTCGGGGACTCTGCAAGGCAAGGCAGGGATCTTAGGGAGAGCTGGAGCAAGTCTCCTAGGAACCTTGGCAGAGTGTGGGGGGGGGGGAGGGGAAGGCGGCAGCGGCGGCTGTGGATTCATCTATCGATCGCTAAAGTGAAAAGAAAAAAAAAAAAGTGCCAGTTTTTGTATTTTTCTTTGCCAGTCGTGTACAAGTTTTCCCCTCATGTCCAAAAGAGAGAGCTTCTGGAATGGACAGTCTGTGAAATATTTTAGAAGGTATTCATTTCTGGGCACTGCCTTTTACTAGAGCAAAGGGTTTCCTGTTTAGAAATGAATCAATGGGTTGGTCACACCGCGTTACCAGGTCCTTAGGAGAGGAAATCTGTAAAACTGAAGCCAGAATTGCAGTGCTTTTGGTGAGGTGACTGGTACCGGGTAACTCACTGGTTTCAGAGTTGTTGAAGGAAGTTGCTCTGCACCTCCCTCCTCACAGCTCCACTCACCGCTTCGTTCATGTTTTAAAAGCAAATAAAGCAATGGGTCTGCACGGGGGGGCTTTCTACAAAGAAAGATAACAGGATGAGCCACGATGAAAGGCAACAGGGTCGCCCGCCCGGTCGGAGTAGGGATGACTTCTCCAACAATCAAGGGGAGTGTGGTGCGTTTGTTGGTCTCTGTCTCTGCCTCTGCCTCTGCCCTAGCCTTGGAAGCTTCAAGAGCTGTAATTCCGCTCCGAGTTCTGCAGGGCCCGCGTTCCGAGGTGCCCTCGGACGTAGGGACGGACGGCCCTGCCCGGGTGACAGCGGGCACGCTCCCCCGCCGCTGTCCTGCTTCATTCCATGCCAACAAGCGGCCTGGAACTTTGAACCCGGAGGACCTCTCCCCCCCCCCCCTTCCCCGCCCCGGTGTCACCCTCCCTGCTCCCGAGCCGTTTGGGAACCACCGCATCCTGCCACCCACGTGCCGCCGCTGCTCCCCAGCCCTCTCCGCGCCCTGGAGAGACTTGGGGCCCAGAAATAAGCCAAGAAGCATCGCCTTCCACGCGCGCCGAGGGGGGACCCTAGACGGCCCCGGAGACACGGTCCCGGGAGAGAGAACCGGGAGAGGAGGGCGCGGGGAGGGAGAGAGGGGCTGGGCAGGAGCGGAGGCGGCGCGGGGGCGGGGCGGGCGGGCGGGCGGGGGGCGCGGGCCGGCGGCGGGGGAGGCGGGGCGGGCGCGGCGCCTCCGCCCGGGGTGAGGGCGCGCGGCGGCCCGGGCTCAGAGTGCCGGGCGGGAGCGGGGAGCGGGAGCGCGGACGGCGGGCGGGCAGCGCGGACGGCGGGGCTGCCATGGGCGCGCAGTGACCGCTGCGCAGCGCGATCTTCCTCGGCCGCGCGGAGCTCCCGGGCCGGCGGTGCGCGTCCTCCGCCACCATGAAAGGTAGGGCCCGGCGGGGCGGGCTCCGGGTCGCGCTGGAAGGGGTGATGGTGCGCCCCTGCACGAACTTTTTTCTCGGGGTCCGGGGGGTGGAGGGAAGACTGGGAGCGGAGCGGGCGACGGGTCCGTGCGTGCACCCTGGGGGCGCTTGGACCTCCAGGCGGGGGCTGCTTGGAAAGCGTACAAGTTATTCCCGGTCCCATCGCGTCTCTTCGAATTAGTCTGAAGCCCTAACGTCGCTGTTTATGGATTCCAGTTCCCAACTTTTTTAATTGGAAAAAGATGCCGCCGAGGAGTGCGGGAGGCATCCTCATCCTTCGCTCCGCGGCGCTCCCCGCGGCCCCGGGCTCCGCTGTGCTCCCCGGGGCCGCGGCCCCTCCAGCCCAGAAGCCGGTGGGTGGGTGTGCGCCGGGCCCGGTGTTTTCTCCGGGTCGCAGGGGTGTTCTCGGGGCGCCCCCCCCCCCCCCACACACACATCTGGCAGTGATTAGGTGCCCGCGGAGTTGAGCTGGCTCGGGAAGCGCGTTTGGCATCTTCCTCCACCACCAGCCCCGCCGCCTGGAAAATCACTGCCCGCAGTCACGCCGCGCCCCTTCCCGGTGCCCGCCGGTGGGGGTGCTGTGCGCGCCCCACGTGTGTGCAGGGGTGACACACACCGTCCCGTCCCCCGTCCCCTGGGCGGGGTCCGGAGCAGGCAGGTTCAGGGGACGTCGGATGGGGTGGACCTTTCAACAGGATCCCCAGGGGGGAAGAAGGGCTTTGCCCAGCGCCCTTCAGAGCAGCAGGAACAAGAGTTGCCAGCAGAGCTCCGGTGTGTGCAGTGAGAGACACAGTGTCCGCGGGGGCATCCAGGGGAGCCCCTTGGGGCTGGGCCGGCGCGGTGTGTCCACGGGACTCGAGTTCCTGGTCTTGTGCTCGGATAACGCGTGTCCGTCCCCGCTGTGGGCTGGGCGGGGGCGAGGGGGTCCGGGGCCAAGTGCCATCGGCTGCCGCGACCACCAGGCGGTGCGAGCGCTGTCCGGGGGAGGTGCCCCGGGAGCCCACACGCCCCCAAAGTCACTCTTGGCTCCAAGTTTCTCTCGGAAAGGCAGAGGCTGCTTAACACCGCGGAGCGGGGTGTCCTGCCAGTTACCTCTGCTTCCGAGGCGGCCCGTCCCCAAACCGGGGGACCCCGGGAAGGGATGGGGGTGGGGGAAGGTGAAGGGGGCGTGAACACCAGGTAAAGAGGACCCCCTGGAGGTGGAGAGAAACAGAAGGCGATGGTCCAACCTGATGCTAGAGCATGTCGTGTTTTTCCTCTCCCCATCTCAGTCTCCCTTCTCCCGTCCACAGTCTAGGAAACACACAGTCTCCTTAGCTAGCCCGGGTGCAAGGACCCTTCCAGAGAGGAAGGAGTACACACACGGCTGAGATTACTCTGGGGCTCCGTTACCCTCACTTTAGCCAGAAGTGAGTCTATTCTTTGCTGGTCACTGAAGCCACTCGTTTCTGAATTCTTGGAAAGATACAGCAGCCACTCACTCCCTCTGCTCCCAGGGGGACTCTTGTACCCTGAATCCTGAAGACTGTGTTTCTGACTGGGTGATGACTGTCTGCACGCTGGGCACTTTTCATTTGTAATGTCAAGTCTGTAACAGAAAACACCTAGACATTCTGAACATGTTTCTGTGACAGTTACACCCCCTTCGGGATCAGCTTGCAGACCTCCCCGGAGCAGGCTCTTGCTGCGCTTACCCCCTGGGGTCTGGGCACGGCTGCAGCGGGGGAGGGGGAGTCAGGGGCTGAGGAATCCCTGGTTAGACTGGCCACTTTGAAACCCTCTTTAAAAATGGAGTGTTATGTAAGGGTTTTGCTTACCAACGGTTGCCATATAGTTTTCATTCACTTGTCTATTTGTTGAGGTGGGGAGTAGAGGGGACAGTAATGGTGTGTGTGTGTGTGTGTGTGTGTGTGTGTGTGTGTGTGTGTGTGTGTTTTAGTACCTACTAAGTGTATGATACCCTCTATAAGCACTCTATCAGTCAGTCCTCTCAGCGACCCTATGAGGTAGGTATTTTAACCTCACATTTTAGATGTGGAAACGGAGTCCGGAAGAAGTAAGAACTGGCGTTGAGAAGGATGGTTGTGGGCAGCTAGAGACAACCTTTGCCAGTTTCCCTGTGTTGCTTGGGAAGATGTAGGGCACCAGATAGGCCAGGCGAGAATCTCAGGTAACTAAACAGCCAAGTAACCCCACGTTGGTGCGGCGGCCAGGAAGGGGCGGAGCCAAGAAATTGGACACAAGCCTTCTGCGGCCAAGCACACAGCGCCTTTCTAGCTACAAGGGAAAGCCGCCTTGGCCAAGTGGAACTATGTTGACAGTTTGCCATAGGTAAACAGCCCCAAATTTTTCCTTGGTTTTGTGATTAATGTCGCATGGGGATTAACTCATTATGCTTCAGAAAGGCAGTGTTTCCTTCCACGTTGATTTCCCTAAGTGACAGGTGTCAATCACAAGCCTTGTAAATTCTTAAAATTAAAAGCATTACGTGAAAACATTCTTTAGCCAAATAGAAAATTAGTGGACACCTTAGGAATTATGAAAGTTTATTTCCAAAGCAAAAATTTGACTCTTGTGTGCACCAGATGCTTTTTTAAGGTACTCATTTGACTTTATAATTCTGATGTTTAGACCTTAGACATGGCCTCTGTAGTAACCCAGGCTTCTGGAATGTAATTCCCCATCTGCTAGCTTCTGGAATGTAATTCCCCATCTGCTATGAGTCACAGCGCCACCTATCCATAGCATTCAGCAAATCTCTGTTCTCTTTCCTCCGTCCCTGGAGTCACAAGTACCAAAATAATGACATCATTATATATTTTCCAGAAGAAAATTACTTACCCCATTGCTGCAATACTTGAAGTCTTCCAAGCTGATTAAAACATGTAGTTGGTTTTAATTTGCTTCCAATTTTATTTTCAATTAGCTGTACTGTACCATAAATCTCATAGTTTTGGATAAATATTCACTTTTTTTAAAGAAGGAATCTGACTCCTCTGGAGTTAGGTGTGTCATTACCAAATTACATTTTTGGTTCTAAAAGCTGGGAATGCTGGTGAGTTTCAGTGCAGCAGCACTTGTTGCCTAAGAGACGGCTGAAAACAACCACCAGCACATGGGACCAGAGAAGTCCAAAACACTGTCATAATTTAGCACAGGGAGGAGGTTGGAGCCATCAAAACACAGTGTTCCGCTGCTTATTTTTGTGCTTTTTGTACAAAAATCTCTGAGATACTATTTGGCAATAATACTTTTAAAATGCACTAGTAAGCAGTAGACTTCTACTTCCTGTTGTGTTTTGGGACTCCTCGCTTTTCTAGTGTCTCTTAAAAATTTTTTTTTTTTAATTTCCGTTTACATTCAGTATTATTCGTTATTAGTTTCAGATGTACAGCATACAGATTAGCTAATCATATACTTTACAAAGTGACCTTCCCCCCTCCCCCAATATTTCCAATACCTACTTGGCACCGTGTATAGTTATTACAGTACTAGAGGCCCAGTGCACGAATTCATGCATGGGTGGAGTTCCGCCGGCCAGGCCAAAATTGGGGCAGATTTGGGTCAGGCCTGTTGGGAGGAGACAGCGGGAGGTTGGCCTGCCCTGATTGGGGCCTGATCAGGGCCAGGCTGGCTGGGGAGAGGGGCCACAGGTGATTGGCCGGCAAGTCCCACCCCCAATTGGGGTAGAGGGGCCGATTGGGGGTCAGCCGCTGGTGGAGGGGCCATGGGAGGTTGGCCAGCCAGCCCCATCCCCTATTGGTGTGTGTGGGGGTGATTGAGGGCACAGCTTGCTGGGGGGAGGGGCCATGGGCCCATCAGAGTAGTGGGGGTAGGGCCAGCTGGCCCCGCCCCCAAATGGGGTTGGTGTGGCTGATCAGGGGCCAGGGGCCTGGGGTAGGGGTCATGGGTGGTCGGCTGATCAGAGTGGGGAGGCCAATCAGGGTCAGAGCTGGCTAGGGGAAGGGGCTGTGGGCAGTTGGCCGACTGGCACTGCCCCTGATCAGGGGGTGGAGGGGAAATCCTGGGTGGGGCCAGACATGGGGGAGGGGCTTCAGGAGGTTGGCGGGCAGCCCCCACCCCCTATTGGGGAAGGGAGGGGGGATCAGGGGTGGGGTTGGCTGGCGAGGAGAGACCTCGGGAGGTTGGCTGGCCACAGTGGGTCATTCCAGTTGTTACAGTATTCCAGTCGCTGGCTCTTTATATATAAATAGATTATTAACTGTACTCTCTATGCTGTACTTTACATCCCCATGACTGTTCTCTAACTACCGATTTGTAATGCTGAACCCCTTTATCTGTTCACCCAGTTCCCCACCCTTCCTCCTTCCGCAGTGCCTCTTTAAGATTTCCTAACCTTAATTGGGCTAAGAAACAAGTGTGTAAGGCTGACTGCGTTTAACACGGGAAGACGCATGCTTTCTGAAGGGAAAGGAAAACACAGCGAGGCCTTCCCCCTTCACTGATTGGGAACTGGGCTGCCCTTCCTCTGGAAGGCACATTTACAATTACAACCTAATTATACTTTTGACTTTCCATTAGTTTGGGGGATGCTTGACATTCTTCAGCTGAGGTTTAATTACTGCAAAGTACAGATTCTTTTCTGCGGTCTCCTGTGCAGTTTCTCAGGATGTTCCCATGCCCCCTGCTCACCGTGTGGCTCATCCACCCAAAAGGGTGTGGCAGGGGAAAGCTGGCAGGTGATCGCTCCCAAGCCATATCATAACTAGGTCTCATTCTCTGATTAATGCTTATTCTCATTAAAACACTATTTCAAAAACAGGTGATGCAACGACTGCCCAAGCCAGTCAAATGGCCCCTGAAGTATTCGTTTTCAAATGACAAAACTGACATTTAAGTTTTATGATAGAAAAGATATGTTTTGCCTTGAGTCATCCCAACATGGGGGGGGGGGGCAAGTCCCTGACACTCAGGGCTTCCCGTGGTGGGAAGAAGGGGAGGC